ACGTAATTTTTTATGTGACAACTGTAAAAACAAAAAGTTAAATGGCGGAATCTTCCTAGACATTTGAGAATCTTCCTAGACATTTGCCAAAGTTTACCGACGGATTTGGCTGAAATTTTTAAGGTCAACGACGCAAAAACACGAAAACTGCAACACGACCAGGAGTGTTTTCAACGATTTTTACGGGCGAGAACACAAAAGCAAACCACTAAAACCTCGTGAATAAATAGACAACCACGTCTAACTCATTACTTCTTTGCGCATGTAGATCGTCCAAGTTAGCAGAGTCCTGACAAGGACTATTGGTGTTGATGTTGACTGACGTTTTGATAACCTTAACGGCAGTCATCTTCAGAATCAAGTCACTTATACGATACAAATACAGAAACGCTTTATATGGATAACATTTATCAAATTCGTGATATCGTGTTACATCGTGGCGAATTTTCTCACCTGCTTTCGCGATTGCCAGAGGTGTAACTAGAACGTTAAATGGGGGGTAAATATTCTTATAGTCAGTTTCACCCGACTCATTTCTTTTGAAATTCATTTGATTTCAATTTAATTTCATCAGTAGGGCACAAATGAAGATATGAGTATGCACTCCACACCCCCACAATTAACGTTCTAGTTACTCCTCTGGCGATCGCTGCAGATCTGCGACAATGCAACTAAAAGTGTTTAAGCCTGGCCCTCACTGGTGACAATAAGGATAAGCATAAATGTGTTCTCAATTTCAAACAGCACAATTATCAATAAAATACAAGAACAAAGAGTTTTGACAATCTTGTGCGTATGCAGCATGAATAAAACATCGCACAGAATAGAGAAAATCTAAACGTACAATTTACTAACCTCTTCTTTCGCCTCAAGCTTTCTACTCAAGTTTTGAATAAGTGTCTTGTGCTCTTCCAAGATTTCCGTTTTCTCATTCAAGACTTCAGCTCATAATGCTGAAGTCTTGAAGGAGAAAACGGAAATGTTGGAAGACACTTCAGGCTTCAGACCCCAAGAGACCTCAAGACTTCAGCATTATGAGCTATCTCATTTTCAAGTCCCTGGAGATTTTTCTGTGGTTCCTCGAGTTCTTCGCGAATGCCCTTCAAACGCTTTTCGACATCATCGCGGCCAAGCCTTAGATCGCCATTACACGACTCTAACTGGCCGATGTGATCTTCTTTCTCCTTCAAAACTTGCTTCAATTCAGTCATGGTTACTGTATCCATGTCGCAGCGACCTTTAAAGTGCACGTACAGTTATTTCCAAATTCGTTGAAATTTTAAAGTTTAGACTGTGGAAAATATGATTTCGAAAAAAATTTCGTAAAAAAGAAAAAAAAAGTTTTTTTTGCGGTTTGAATTAGCTTGCTTTTGAGAAATTTCCGCGCCGCTGAGGGGACGTAAAACGAGAGGTTTGTGACGTCATTTAAGGAACGTATGAATACGCTGCATACAAAACAACATAGTGTGAAATAACAATTCTTTATATATTGCTTTGAAATTAATATAAAAATTGTACGAAACATGTCCACATCTGATTCTGAGTCGAGTACAGCAACAACAGTGGAAAATATTGAATTGAACAGTCGGGAATTCGATTTAGAAGACGAAGATCAATCGTCATCAAATGCGCTCCGAAACACCGATGGCGATTTTGAGTATGGCCAAGCTGAAGCGTATGAAAACGAACCACTTGCAGATGAAGAGTTGTTAGAAAAGTATATTAGAGAAACAGAAGAAGAAAGACGCCAAACAGAAGAGCTTGTTGCATACATCTTATTGTATGATATTAAATCTAAAGACAAGGCAATAAATAAGAGATTATTAAACACATAATATTTCTTTTTAATAGCAACATGAATTTTTTTAGATTTTTTACCTTCATTTAGCCATTTGCGTGGTTTTATGTTGGAATCATGAGCACATTTACTCTCACACAGATTCCAGGTAAAATGTTGATATGCATATGTATAATTTTAACGTACTCACCATTTTGCGATCTCTTGTTGTAAGTTCATTGTCATCTTTTCGAGGATAAATGCTCGGGTAAGCAACGATTCCGAATTCATCTCGAATGAGTCGAGGTGCAAAATTACTTTCTGATTCAGAAAGCGAGCCGAATTGCCGAGAAAACGAATCTTTTGTGAAGTGTTCCGAGCAAACTGCGGAATTCTTTGTGGGGACCCACTTATTGCGAGTAGCTTTCACAAAGTTGACCCATCGCTTTCTCCTACGCTTAGCTTCGCTTCTTTCGTCGTTAAAAAATGGTATGCGATGAAGTGAAATGCCTTTCTCCAAACTGGCTACGTTAGAACAACCAAAAACTACACATCGATCTGGCATTTTTGTGTTTGTTCACATGCATAAACAGTGTAAGTTGTATTGGAAGTCAGTCTGTGTTCCTTAAATGACGTCACAAGTAAGTCCCATGCCACGGATTAGAGCTCTCGACATTTTTTACAAAACGTTGAAATTTAGGTTTTATTCGCATCTTTGCCGAAAGATAACTCAAAAACGAAAAAAGTTATTCAAATTCTGTAAACGGCATTTGTATTATTTATCCAAAATCTATTTGAGAATAAAAAACTAAAAATAACTGTATGTGCACTTTAAGGGTTGTGATCTCGCCTAGTCGACAATTAAACGACATAGTCATGTTTTGAACAACAACAGCTTCCCCAGGAAGCAAATCTTGAATTCTTTGACAAAGAGCTCTCGATGAGCTAACATTGAAATTAAAAATTTACCGCTTTCACCGTTAATACGAGTAAATAATTACGTAAATAATAAAATTAGCCTTATGGCTTTCGTTAAAACTCACTTTGTTGTAGGTCAAGCTCCATTATTAGTTCGAAAATCTTTGCATCTTTCAGCTGTAGCTGCATTTCTTGTTTCTCAAGTTCAGCAATTCGGTCACATTTTACTTTAAGTTCATCATTCAGCGATGTAATTCGTTCTTTGTTTATAACGTTTTCCTCATCGTTGATCTTTTCAAGAAGCGCGCTCTTTTCGACAGTCAGTTCATCCAGGGAGCGTTCAAGTTCGACGTAATTCTGTCTCATTTCATCTTCTGAATCAAATGAATTTGTTGATTTGTAAATGCCACTCTTTAATATGATAAGAATTGTACATAAAAAATAAAAGTTTCTCCGGATTTTAAGTGATTTTTATTGAGCTTTCGACTCGTTGCTTCGAGCCTTCATCAGAATGAGGATATTTATTTACACGAGCTTTTAGCTTGGAGATGTTTAGAGCGTCTAATTGGATGAGTGGGTGTATTAATGTGATTGGATGGGGTGAAATGCGTTGCCATAGGTTTTGGTGTATTCTTTGTTTGCAATAGACGTCACTTCCCGTATTTCCACTGTCATTACGTATTCATATTTCCAGCTGAAGGGCAGGTAGATAGATTATATCATAAGCGTGATTGCCCTTCATGTGTTCTTTATTCAAATATGCCGGATTGCTGTTCAGTTTTTACTTGCTCTAATCGAGCTAATTGAGAAAAGGATAAAGGCTATTATAGGATACTGAAGGAACATCTCCATAAAGGGGAAACATTAAAAAAACTAACAAAAAGACGTCATGAAAAGTGGCTCAGAAACCTTTCATTGTCATCGAAAGGTATCGAAAGCCCCCATGCTCGTGTATGTGGTGAACATTTTAGTGACCTTAAGATTTGACGACGCACTCATCTACAACGCGAGTGGAAATGAATTTTAAACCAATGCGTATGTGCGTGCGTCGTTGAGTTTCGTCGTGCTTCTACTACGCGGCGTCTTTGCTTAATCCCACGTCGTCCTACATCGAAGGTGGAATTTTGCACAAAAAAAAGTTTTAAGGTAAGTATTCAGCTTTTAATTCACCTGTTACAATTGTCTGTGGAGTCTGATATGTGATTGATGTGTTGATATTTGTCTGTGAGTAAAATATGTTTACATTTTTGCTTTTAGCAAGGCAAGAAAATGGCAGAACAGTTTTCATCAGCATCAAGTGATTGCTCATCAAGTACACCACGAAATTCATTGTGAGTTAAATTAATTGTTTAGCTAAATTAACATCCATGGGCTTTGAAATTTGTTTTACTTTATAATAACGGTTTGTGTTCCCCTTTTATGTTTGCATAAAAATACTATGCAACGGGTACTCATATATCAATTTTGGCTACTATATATTTCAAAATTGTTATAGAATCAGTTTTGTTATGAAGTGGACAGCAAAGCATGATGTCGAGCTGTGCAAAGAAGTTGTTGTGTCAAGACTTTTTGAAACAAGAAAAAAATCCCTTGAAAGAGGAAAGGTGTGGGAAGCCATTGCTAAGAAGTTAGAGCAACATGACCACCTTTGCTTTCGTGTTGACCAGCGTGCAGTAAGAGACAGAGTACGAAAATTGCTTGCAATCTATTGCAAGAAAGAAAGGGAAGAAATAAATGCAAGTGGCATTTCTCCAGAAGCAACTGAGCTGGATGATTTACTTGAAGAAATTCATGCTAGAGAAAAAGCTAGTGATGTTGTTGCTGCTGAGGCTACAGCTGCTGAAAGAATAAAAAATAATGCAGACAAAGAAGCAGCAGAGGAGATAAGGAGAAGGGCTATGGAAAACCTATCCGAAACCAGGAAGCGAAAGGAAAGCGAGCAAGGTGGTGCTAGAAAAAAAGTTAGGAAAGGAGGAGATTCTACTTTAGAGTTTCTAAGAGAAAAGGGGGAGAAAGAAAGAAAATTAAGAGAGGAAAGCTTAAAATTGGAAAGAGAGAAAATAGAAATGCAAAGGCTGCAAATACAGAATGAGAAAGAAAGTCAACAGCAATTCATGGAGAAACAAAATCAGTTGCTGCAAAACATGATTGAATTACAAAGGCAACAAAACCAGCAAATTCAAGCAAATCAAATGTTACTGGTTCAACAACAGCAACAACTATCGCAAGCCCTAGTAGCTCTTTTATCAAAAATTGCTGACAAATAAACCAATCATGTTTTTTTAACAAAAATTTCAGACAAATATAATAATTTGTAATTACAATTTATGAGAAACAAGAAATATTCACAAAAAAATTATGAGAAATACGTTTGAAGAGAGGGTGGCTCCAACTGAAAAAAATCACTTGTCATATTTGATTGAAGACAAGTTAGAGCATTTCTAAGCAGTGATGCAACTATATACATTTTGCCCACAGAACTTAAGCTAATTTTTAGATTCTTCTTAAAATCAAGGAATTTAAAGTAGTTTATAATGTCACCAAAAATCTACTCCACTGATATTCTCACAGCACTCATTGACTTATTGAATTCTTCCATTGGCATGGTTAGTGGTAGGTTTCGGTATGGTGCTTGCAAATGAATGCGCAGAGGATATGCAGGATCTCCATATAGACACATGGGTTTTCCATTCCAATGAGCAAACTCTTCAAGGTCATTCAGAAGTCCTGACTCAGCCAGCATGGCAGAATCATGCCTTCTTCCTTCTAAAAGAAAAATAACTCAGTTTGTTTTTCAACAGAATTTACCCTTGACATTGCATTTACCTATTGGTCCAAACATGTTTGCAATTATTCCATTTGGAAGTGTAACTGATTGGAACTTAAGAGCATGGACCCTCTTGTGACCATTGTACACTATTCGCTGCATTTCACCTGGTCTACAAATCTGCCTTACTGTCCCATCAATGAAACCAAAGCAAATATCAAGAGCTGCTCCTTTTGATGGATGGTTTAACCATAAATCTTCAGATTTTCTGGGCTGAGCAACTGGTGATTCCAACAGGTTATTTTGTACCCATACCTCTCAAAAATGTAGTCAACAGCGGTATTCATGATCATGCTGAGTTCTGGAACAGACCTGCCAAACTGCGGTACAAGATCACTGTATCTACATGGATAAGCAAACCGACGAAGGACAAGGCAGAGAGCTTCCAGCCCATCACAAACTGTTCCTTGTTTACATTTGAAACGATGAGGAAAATCTAACGCTTCAGCCAGCAAAGGAATTTCGTGTTTCTTAAAACGAAAGTCTACAGCACATGTAACTTCATCAATTTCCTCCAAATGAAAAGATGAATAGTCGCCATGTTTTAATTCTTGGTTCTTTGAACGCGAAATATCATACAAAAGTGCAAATTCATCTTCGTTTATCAAAGCGGAGTCATACGCAACAGCTATAGCATTTCTTGTTTTTTTGAAGGAGGCCATTTTTTTGAAAGAATAGGTAGTGAACTCAGAGCCCTCTATAGTATAAGAGTTGGGACAAACGGTCTGGGGCGAGCGCGGAGCCGCCATTTTGGTTCCTACTTGCAAAGTGATACTATAATAATACTATTGGAAATTGGGTTTATATGCAAAAGAAGAAAGCAATTTAAGCTTATTCCATGGTAGTATCAAATATATTAGGAATAATAGCAAGCTCTTTGCGTTTTTTTAACGATTTGCGGCAGACCTGATTTAATTTCATTGGTTTGAGCTTAGTTTGCAGTTTACTAGTTCGTGCCTCAAATTGATCGTGACCCATTTTAAGAAGTATTTTTCGTACGTGAACGTGTTTTCTCGGCTTATGTTCCGACTCTGTAACAAGTTTTCAAGATATTTAAGCTTGGTGGCCAGCGGCAATGTTATCCTGGCATCTAAAAATACAAAATACAACATGGAAAATCATAAGAGTTTCTGTGATTTGGTGTAGTTGTTTTAGTATGGAAGTGGCTGAGAATTGAGGTTTGTAGATTGACCAATTTCAGAACATGAGAAATAATCTTCGATTAAAAAACAAGCTTTGGAGTAAGAAAACTATTGAAACTGCATCAGCACGAACTTTGCAATGTTATTTGGCCCAAAAATGTTTCTCTACTTGAGTCAGTTAATTGAACCTTATATCAAAAGCAGTTCAGCACAACAATCACCATACGCAATCAAATTTCGTAAGTTCGACGTAAAGGCATTTCTTTCATTTTTTTCGTAATCCTCGATTTATGCGATATGTAATGACATTTGGTAGCCTTCAACAATCAATTACACACTTATCCATAAAAAACGCAATATTATCTCAAAATACTGTATTACTAGCAGCAATTGCTATATAAACACTAGCTCAAATTTCAAAACTAGGAACCAAAATGGCGGAAATTGATCAGGTGATGAATATTGCCCAATCAACGTAAGCTAAACGGATAACAATAGATGTCCCAACTCTTATACTATGGAGGGCTCTGAGTGAACTCACAAGTTCGCGTCGTTAAGGAAATCCAATCTTAATGACTTAACTTGCAATGACACGCGGACGCATTCGCACCAGGCCATGCGCGCCAAACTCGCGTCGTTGTAACGCGCGTCGTGAAATCTTAAGGTCCCTTTTGTTAAAGGTGCGTAGACGAACTTTGTGATTCAATATTAAAAGCAATTGCGAAAGAGTTTGAACTGAAGCGCCTTGCAAAATGTCTATAGACTCTATGAATATAATTGTTTACATTCATAATTTTTTTGTTTCCAAGGTCGTCCAAGTAATGTCTACGACTAACACGACGTTGATTGGGCTCCTACACTTAAATTGGGTCACCAGAAATTAAAACCTATTCGTGAAAGTGCCATTAAAAGAAACGATCGGACCAAAAAGCGAGACCTTAAACGACGCCATTCCGAAGCAGCCGTTGCCCTCCTTGATTTACAAAAGCTGGCTCGACTGGAGTCTAACGTCCATCAAGAACATGAACACCCAGGAGAAAATAACTTATATTTACAACAAGGTAAAAGTATTTTTATATTTGCTTTTCGAAAAACTTTGTACTTATTCATGGTTTTGCTTCAATAGAGTCATTTATCAACCCATGCTGAATGCCAGACTGAAAGACAGGTTCAACATGTAGAGTGCCAAACAGACCTAATGACTTTATGAATATAATGCCATCTTTAAGTTTATATATATCATATTAAATTGGAAGGGTGGGAAGTGAGTAGAGGCTTTGAAAGATGCTGCCCAAGGACTTCGGGTAGTATGCAATTCTTAAAAAAATATTCTGCCTTAACCACAATAGTATCCCACAATTCTTTGTCTGGAACAATTCTTTCAATGAAAATATCACTACATTCCAAACAATAAAATCACAGTAATCAAGTTCCATGATATTTACTTGTGCTTGGACTTGAAAGTAGTAGCTGTGTTTCCTGCTGAGTTGTATACCCTCACCTTCATTCTTTACCAGACAAAAGCCTTTTTCACCGGCACATTCTTCTATATTTTCTCCATCCTTTTTACAGTAAGGACACTGATAAACAATACAGACAATAAATGTGTCACTTCCTGAATCATGTTTAAATAACAACAGTAACTAATTTTTTTATTATTGTAACCTTTATCTCACATGCTCCCATGCCACAGCAGTTACAATTCACCACACCATCAGGTGATGCTCCCATGAATGGCCATTTAGGATTCATTCTCAGACCACTGTCACACAGTGAAAAGTTGTAATGACTTTTTCTCATGACTTTCTCATATTCTTTCCTCGCCTGTATTTCGTGTTTGCAACCATGCCTGTAATATACACCAAGCCAAAATATAATTGAGCATGAGAGCTTCATAAATTTTCCTTGACAAATTTACCATTTCATGTGATTAATTATTGACCTACTGGACAATAAAGCTCTATACTGACCTTGTTGCAGCAGTAGAAAATCTGTGGGCCTCGGGGTAGCATATGCATTTAATCAAACTTCTTGAGGGATTTTCAGGCTTGGTACTAAGCACAGCTTTCAATCTTGATGCAGTTATGCGGCATGCCCTCTGAGTAAACCATGTCCTGGAACCAGCCTGTTTTCGAGTTTGAACTTCAACAGCTCTTATTTGGTCTTTGCTTATTTGCAGCACTAGTTTTCTACATCGATCCATTAACTCGTCATAAGAAAGCTCTAGTGATGCATCTGATCTGTAGTTTATTAATGGCTTTGGGAGAATTTCTATAGATGATTTAGGAATGAATTTCTCATGATACAATTTTTGTGTCATTAAAACAGCACTCATTGGGTAGTTCTCATTCAATGCCTTTAAAAAATTATTATATTCCTCAGATCCAACAACAACTTTTGGACATGATGCTTTTGATTTTCTCTCTGCTTCAACTGCTTCACCTTTCATAGCACTATCAAGTCTTTGTTTTTTAGCCCTGGCAGAAGAGAAGTCTATGTTGGAAACTGAGGCAGCATTTATCTAAAAAAAATAACACATCTGTTTGCAATCAGTGTTCAAAGTAATGATAACTTTTATCAAATGTTGTAAATGTGCATGATAATTACCTTTTCTATATGTGCTGGCAACAGCCATTTACTTTTCTCCATTGTACAGACTACAGACTCCCGCATACGTACTGCTGATTCGATGAAATACAACAGGGCACCTACGTGAGAACACGATTCTGCCAGCCTACAACAAAAAACAGTATCTACAACAGTGCTTGATCTTTTTGTAATTCAAAACACAAATGCACGAAAAATTTGACAAACAAAACACTTTCTAACCCAGCCATGCAATTACAGTGAGCAGTGAGAACTTCGTCGTCATCTTTGAGAATGACCCAAGCTTTTAAAGGAGTTGCTGTTGATCTTTGTGAGTGGTTGATCTTAGTAAAAAAAGAATAGGAGTCCTAAATTTGTCTTAAAACAAATGCTAGATATATTAAAGTAATAAGAACAAACTCAAATCAACAACAAGAAGCAATCGTTTACTTGCAAATTGCAATGGAACAAAAATGTACTTACTCTCGCAAAAACAAGGCAATTGTTGTTGTCCATTACACGTCTTGATTTTACTTCATGGAGCCAACCACAAACAAAAATGTTGTAAGCTTCAAGACTTTTATATGCTTTCATTTGTTTCTTCGTATAAAATGAAGTTTGAACGACCAAATAATTTGAAATGTCAGGAAACTGCAAGTTAGGGAAATTGTTATGATCGGTTAAAAAGTCCCTCTTTTTTAGAGAATATGGATCCAGTCCATCACATAAGGAAAGCTTCTCTTGGTATCTTGACTTTGCCTTTGGTTGAAGAGATAAAAAGTACTCGGATAGTAAATTTTTCGTTGTTGCTGTTGGCTTAGTTATAGTAGCATTGGCCGCCATCTTAGTTCTTTTGCCCTTCACTTGAAAGCTGTAATAACATTTTGAAGCAATAAATCACGTGATTGCAAACAAAGAATTGTGAATATGATTGGTGTTAATAATATTAGAGTGTAGTGTTTTAGTTTTGGTGTTGTTTGTAGTTTTTATGTCGTTTTTCTTTAGTTGTGAGTATAGAGGGATAGGGGGATAGCGGTTGCACTCCACAGCAAATAAACATTTAAATAAAACAAAGGAAAAAAATAGTCTACCATCATATGCATTGCACGCGTAATCAGCAATTTTTTGAAGCACAAAATGTACTGGCAAGAGTATATTTGCGATTTGATTCTTCGTAATTCCTGTAGTCATGTAGCAATTAGTATAAGTAGTAGTAGTTTCGAGTTCGAAGGACGAGCGCTATTTTCAGTCTTTAAAAACTCAAAAGGGCATGTTTAGACGTAATTGCACGGGTAACTATACTACTACTTATAAATAATAACATACTTTAAGATATATTTGCTTTCAGTGGTTTTTAGCCAATCAGGTTACGGTATTTACAGGGCAATTATACTATTCCACAGTGCAATTACAGATATCTCAAAGTATGTCAGTCATTATATTTTTTGTAAAAGAGGAAAGGCGAAATTAAATTTCGACTTAAATTCAACGACATTCAAGTTTTGTACAAACTATGACATACAATCACGGCGGCAGGGGCGGATCTAGGCCATGGCGAAAGTGGCTTGAGCCACGGTCAGAATTCTGCCACTTAAGTTTTTCCAGGGTTGACTTTTTCATGATTAAAAATTTTGCTCAAATACAGCAAAATTCGATCAAAAGCAAAAATTGAATGAATTTTGTAATTTTTTGTCAAAATTTGTGTTAACAGAACAAAAACGTCAAATTAAACGTCTTGTTAAAATAGTATTATCATCCAGTTAAACTCTGAACTGTAAAATCACCGAAAGCGTCTCGAATCTTGCCAAATACGCCATGAATATGCTCGGAATATGTTTGTAAATTCGAGCCAGCAATCGCAGAATGAAGAGCCACGGTCAGCGTTCAAAAAATTTCGCAATGGTTGTTAAATATAGTAACCTTCAGCCACGGTGCAGCGTTGCAAGCCAATCACAGGGAACGTTTTGGTCATGTGCGCCACGGTGAGCCACGGTGAATGTATTTTGATTGCGCAATAAATACAAGTCATATGCAAAAGCTCGATTCTTGTCGACTTGAAAAAACGCTACTTCTAGTTCTACTCAGCAGTTAGGATCAATGGAAACTTCTAAAAAGATCGATGTTCTTGAAAAGCTCGTCCTTTCAGCAAGAGAACGCTGCTAAATGATTTCTGGTGAATTGTCTAACTTGAGACAACACTGTGTTAAAATAATCAACGAGGAAAGGCTTCGTCGTATGAATTTTACTGGCGATATTATGCTACGAACTTGTTCATTTTCAAAACTGCAGTTCCCTGAAAGCCAAATTGAAAGATCAGGACCCAATGTCCCTGTTAGGTAAGAATTTACATGTATTGGGGTTTAATTTATATTTTTATTTACGTTTGACATCTTGGCCTGAAATATATGATCAATCCGTTAATTTTCAGCTATTCATATTTAGTGTATCATGTAAAATATATATGTCTAAAGCTGTCATTATTTTGCATACTCAGTCTGTCTAATGTACGGCCTAAATAATTTTAATTGTTACTGTCTGTTAAATAAAATGTTTTACTTCAATATTAGTTAAAGCTAGTCTTTTTAAAATTTAACCCAATCAATAATGTATTGTCTTTGTATTCCTGGCATTTTATGTTATCCCCTGGTTAAAGAAACTAACATATCATTTTGAATAACTGTTACTTTCTTTCGCGGGTTATATAAAATATTGATGCTATAGTATATGGAATCAATAAGTCGTCTGAATCCTGTTCGACATGCCTAGACTAGTTCCAAATCTTAGACTACCTGCCTGTGACTTTGACTTTATCATGATGTTACCAAATTAACACAAAGAGAAAATAACTTTCTCAATTTCAATATTTTTAGTCTATCTTTAACAGTATTGGTTACCCTTATTTATTCTAAAGTCAGAGTCAGTCTAGCAGATTTGTTTCCAGGTATAACTTGGTATAACAAAGCAGCCATTGATACTTAAATACTAATTTTTCTTTTAGTACTTTAGCCAATGGGAATTTTCTGTTCAATGCATGTTCTATTGCATTAGTTGGGAATGAGACTCTCTCTATTTACATGAGATTCCTAACTAGTGTTAAATGTTTGAGAATGCAAAACACTATTCTACCCATCCTCTCATCGAGTCCCAGCATAAAAATGGTGCGTTCGCTTCACTTAAAAATGCCTTTGCCAAGTGTATATGCGATGCAGCTCTAACCTCTTTAGAAAATGCAAATGAAATTGCAGCAGTTTTACAAGAAGCAGTGGAAAGAGCAAATAATTACACCTTTTCACCCTTGATGTGTATGTTTGCTTTGTCCACAGTAATCCAGTGTGATCCAATTACTAATGATGCTGAAGTGAAAGGAAATTGGGATTCGTTGGCTAAAATGTTCAATTGTACAATATATCCAAGAGATTTTGTTGATGGGAGTGCAATTGACTATGTCCATATCTTTCGTTGTGCTGCGATGCCACCTTCTTATTTGGTAGACCAAAAAATCCCATCCACCAAAAATCATTTTGTTACTTTGTTTTTAGAGGAGCACCTTTGAACATTGCTTTTATTAATCTTGCCATCTTTACCATTGTTGGATAAACATCTTTGTCGCTGTTGGAAGAAGATCACATTTGAACATTGTTTTTATTAATCTTGCCAACTTTACGATTATTGGATAAACATCTATGCTGTTGTTGGAAGAAGATCACCTTTGAACATTGCTTTTATTAATCTTGCCAACTTTACGATTATTGGATAAACATCTATGCTGTTGTTGGAAGAAGATCACCTTTGAACATTGCTTTTATTAATCTTGCAATCTTTACGATTGTTGGATAAACATCTTTGCTGTTGTTGGAAGAAGACCACCTTTGAACATTGCTTTTATTAGTCTTGCCATCTTTATGGCTGTTACAAAAGGCATCCTCGCTGCTTTTCGAAAAAGACCATTTGATGGGGCAACAAAGATGGGGAATTATTTTTTTGTAGTGAAGTGTCTTTTGGTTATTCACTGAAAAATAACATGCTTCATCTTTCTCTCACTCCTGTGGCAACAATCCTGTGATTACAGAAAGGTATGGAAACTGTGTTGATTTTACATCAGACACCACAAGATAAGTAAAATTTTTATCCGAACAGAATTAAAAAAATGGCGATATTAGAATTTTTTTTAGATAAGATCATAACTAAAATATTGTTATATTCTACATTAAAAATGCAGGAATTTGCTTTTCCGAGAGTCTAGATTTCAAAATTTTCTGGGGGAGCATGCCGCCAGACCCCCCTAGCGTTGGCTCGCGCCGAAGTCACTCGCTACGTCATAGGGCCACGGTCAGCCCATAGGCTGGATCCGCCCCTGGCGGGTCATACCTTTTTGTTTAAAACAGGTTATTTGATCATATACTAGATATACTAGATATACGATCTTTGATGTTGGAGTGCTTTTGAATAAGCTCCGTGGTCATTTCAGATAAATCGCTGCTTAAATTTTCCTTTTCTTTCAATTTCTTCTCGCATTCTGCTTCGAGTTTAAGCGCACGAGCTTCGCTGTCTTTCAACATGCACTCACTTGACCTTAACGTTTCCTTCAACAGACTCATCTCCGATTTACACGTTTTAATTTCGATTAAAAGTTTTTTATTTTCAATTATCATATTTTCCTTTTCCGAAATAACAGCTGCAAGACTGTCTTTTAAGACTTCAATTTCTTCGCCCATTTTTCTTTCAGTCACTTCACAGCGAATGTCACTTTTCTTCAGCAAATCTTCCACGTCTTCCTTACCAACATCTTCATCCAAACTACCAATTTCCTTTA